GTGTGTGTGTATATATATATATATATATATATATATATACATACATACATACATACATACATACATACATACATACATACATACATACATACATACATACTAGGGCTGCAACTAACGATTATTTTAAAAATCGATGAATCGGGCGATTATTTTTTCGATTAATCGATGAATCGGACAAAAAATATTTTTATTTTATTATATATATATATATATATATATATATATATATATATATATATATATATATATATATATATATATATATATATATATATATATATATATATATATATATATATATATATATATATATATATATATTATATTTTTTTCCAAAATAAACATTTTAGACAGAACAAACAAGCACACAAGTACAGGTTGCTCATTAACTGTACTGGTGCAATATGAAAAATAAATGTTTGTGTTAAAACTATGCAAACTTACATGAAAAATGTAGCTGTACATCCACAAAATATAGGCTACTTTGTTTCATAAAGCGCAAAAAAAAGGCATTTTTGTTTTCTAAAGCCCCTAAGCCTTAGGGGCTTTAGAAAACAAAAATGCCTAAGGGGTTCAAACAATAGGCCCCCCCATTTCAACAAATGAGTTTTTTTAGACTAGAAGAGTTCTGCCTTTTAAGACAGGAAAGTATAGCAGTTAAAGTTGCTACTTGAGAAAATACTGAACCATAGAGATAAAAATAGCCCTGTGATTCAAATTATAAATTGTATTTGGAATAAAAATGAGAGAACTAGGGGTGCTAAAAAACACATCCTCCAAAGACAGATATTTACATGGGAATGTGGCAGATAATTAATTGACATATTACTGATCTTGCTGGATTTTATTCTGCTTTACTTCCATAAATTGCAGGATCTTCTTTACTTTATCTTTGCCAGAAGATTTAAACTTCAAAAGCCTTGCCCTCATAATTTGCAAGATAATTTATTTATAAAGGCTATTTTAATTATTGTGATCAATTTGCACCGTCAATCCCGGCACATGCGCGCTTCATTTGCAGTCTGGACGCTGAAACAGGCTGCAGCGGGATGCTTCTCCAAGTACATCCTGCGGCTCTGATTGCAGCGATGAGAGAGATTCCTGCGGGAGAACGGGGTTGGGAGGGGGGAGGCGCCCCACGGCAGCAGCTGCCGCTGGAGGACAAGATTAGGAACGATACATGCTTTCACGTAAGAGTCTCCAAAAGCCGCCAGTAACACCGTAAAAAGTCGCCAGATTTGTCGCTAGTCACTTTTTTAAAAAAAATAGTCGCTGGAGGGGTCTGAAAAGTCGCTAAATATAGCGACTAAGTCGCTGAGTTGGAAACACTGCGCACCTGCGGCGCTGACTCGCTCTGCCGTATCTTTTTTTTTTTTTCCCCGTTTCAGTCAAGTGGCAGTGATAATGGCGGCAGCGGATGACGCATTAATCGCGCGACACAACTAATCGATGATGAAATTCGTTGCCAACGCTTTTAAAAGTCGATTTTTATCGATTTTATCGATTCGTTGTTGCAGCCCTAATACATACATATACATATAACTACCAAGGCTCCTGTCTCGGAGCTTTTCTAACTTGACTTGTTGCTGCTTTTTTTTTTTTTTCTTCTCTTCAAACTGAAACTGCGCATTAAAAGACATAACCCCTCCTCTAGAAAAATCCAGTTTGATGACATTCCTCTGTCAAAGTATGAGCATAGAGCACATGGCTTTGTACTTGTGCATTTCAGCAGCTAACTGAAATTTTGGTTGTTTTAGGGCTGTTTTTAAAGGCAGTTTGAGCCAAAAAGAAAACCTAGACCCATTTTAGGATATGGTAAAGTGTGTAGTATTTATGTGCAGATTCCCAGTTCTCTGCCTGCGTCTGTGATGGTTTTTTCTCACAATGCTGTCTTTGGGCCCTTTTTGGGCCGTAACTTTTGGGCAGTGGGTGTGTTGTCGCCAGCCTATGACAGCTGGTGGGTGTGAGGACTGCAAAAATGCAGTGATCAGTCTAAATCCCAGTCCCCTCCCTGCTCTCTCCTCTCTGCTGTCTGTTTACACGTCTGCTGCTCACACACAGGCTTCCCTCAGCAGAACGGGGGAATTTAAAAAAAATCTGCTGATTCTGCACAGGCTCCAGTGAAGAGGTGTGGACGGTTTATCATAGCTGCACAATTTAGCCCAGACAAAATTACTCAAATCTTTTACTTTTGTTTCTTCTTTCTTTATTTTTTCTCAGCTGTATTGGCTGTGGTCTACCTACCACAAGTCAACAAATACCCTTAGTCTGTTTGTTTTCTTGGTTTCTTAACTTGAGGCCAGCTCCCTTGATGGTGGAGCATATGTGTTTGAAATGGGTTTTTGTGTGCAGTTTCTCCCACATGTTGCAGTTTCCCTGATGGAGCAAATGTTATTGATTATAGCTAAGGAAACCAATGTCGACCAAACCTTTTCGAATTTAGAGCTTAATGCCGATTCTTTTCATTAGGGTGGACATCAGTCTTGATTCTTATTCCATTGACAGCCATTAGTGCCTTTTAAAAAGCACTGGCGGAGGGCTCCATTGGTGTTTAGCCCCTGTGTGACCTGGTCAACCTGGTCATTTTCTCTTCTGTATCCTGTTTGATGTGAACCTGACTTATTGATTCAGTAGCAGTTAGCTTAGGTTTGCTTTGGTGTGGTTCAAAAGCAGTTTATACAAGATAGGTCTGTAAATGGGATAATTAAAATGCCCCTTTTGTATTTTTAACCGCTATGTAGTTGTTAAATACATCTAATGCTGTATCTGAACCTGGTTTCTTATATTGATTTGTATTTTTCATTTTAACTTTGAATTTCTACTGATACAATAATGATAACCTCAAGGTTAGCTTTGCACAAACGACTCGTATATATTTCTTATGGGTGGCCTTACTCTTCAACTTTCTTATAAACATCTGCTAATGTTGGCAGATGTCTGTGTACATAGCTTTGTTTCATCGAACTATTCCTTTTTAGTATAGGGGTTATTACCTATACTTGTTAAAAAAAAAAAAGCAGCAGAATGTTGTTAGTCTATTTGCTGTTATTTTAGTGAATTGTTTCAAATAATTACGCTTAACTGATATAAATCAAAAGATCACTTTTGCTGCAGAGAACAGTTTTACACCATCAGGCCCACTTTGGCGTTTTTATATATTCTTTTGCTTACTGTAACGCTAGATCAATAGAGTGCTTTCAGCCTTCGATTAAAACTGTCATATAGTCCAAAGATCAAGTCCAGACTGTGACTAAGCATGTGACTCAGTTAAATCTTGGAGGAAATTTCTTCACACTAGGAAAACTGATCCCTAAGGAAAAGATGGCTGTAGAAGTATTGAAATAGTCATATTTAAGCATTTGTTCACCTTTTTTATGATTTCTGAATTACCAAAGGAAGCTAAAGTTTGTTTATAAACATTTTAGCAGCATTTTAACTTTCTGTATCTTCATTGAACTCTGATCCATCTTTTATTTCCAAATATATGTAGTGTATTTTATCTTTACAACTCAGTTTGCTTCTCGATGAGAATCTGTTTCCACTTCTGTAAGGTCAGCACTCGCATCATGCCAGTGGTTTCCCCAGCTAGCCTATTTGGTATGTGCAGTATAAAGCAGAAGTATTGATCTTTGCTAAGTGTTTATTTTTAACTTTGAATTTTGCAAACAGGGGTTCTACATCAGATTTGCATATTGGTGAGCAAAGCATGAAGGAGCATGCCTTTTGTTGCTGTTTTGTCCTGCAGCAAAGAAAAAAAAAGCTCAAAGTATTTTGGTTCCTTATTGGCTTAACAGATATTTCCCAAATGACTCTTGACAAAAAAATTAGTTCCAGGCCCTTTAAGTTAGATTCTTGACTTGTTTGTTTATACAAAAGTCTTTAAAAGATGCACAGATATGTCATTGGATTTTTTTTTAAACCTTTGAGTCAATCTGGCAGATGTTCAGAAATCCCTTATTAAATTGTAACCTCAGCCTTAAAAACGTGTCATTGTCATGCTGTGGCAGAAGCTATAGCTGCAGTAAACTGAAACACGGATTTCCCCAAATTATTTTATGGTACGTTTTGTAATACATCTCTATAATTAACACATTTTTTAAGGCAGAATAGATAAAAAAGTATTCCCACAGTATAATGATGCCACTACCATCCATTTAATGTACTAAGAGTTGGGGTTTTCTTAACCCAGAATAATGCATTTGCATGTGTTTTTTTTTTTGTTTTTTTTCTTTGCATTGAAATCTATACATCTGAAGAGATTTGTATTGGACAAGAGAGTGGTGTTTTATTCTGTCCCTTTCCTACCTATTAAATGTCTAATTCATTAAAGGTTGCGACAAAACAGCCACATAATGCTGCTTTTTTAAAAGAACACTCCAAAGAATAATTAACCCAAATTGGTACTTGAATATTAAAGTGAAATAACCATGGGTTTGAAACAAGAGGTTGACTTGTTGTCATATTTACATCAAATCTCTCAGATTTGAAAACAAAAAAACCAAAAACACGATGAGCAGAGCTGTGTGGCCAGAGCAGAATAAAGCATTTTCCCCTCAGAACAACACATTTCCCCTTCTGAACTCTTGAGTTGAACTGTCAGGCAGCTGCAAGCTGCTGAATGAGCTGAAATGTGCAGTTGTTGTGCTGTTGTGTCGGGGCCCTCCAAGCTGCTTAGTAGTGTGCAAGAAAAAAAAAAAAAATGCTTTGAAGACATTGAAGCTTTAGGCTTTCAGACATTGTTTTTATTCTAAATGTAACCAAACAATGTTGTTTACACCACTGTCCTCTCCCGAAGGCTTAAAAATACCCACTTTGGCTATTCCCTGGATTTCATTACAATACATAATGAAAAAGAAGAAGGCTCGATTACAGAACAAATGCTATTTGCAGTCCTCCCTTGCTGCCACACAATTTAAACCTGTACTCCTAAAAGGCTTTTGTGTGACACCAGTTGATTCCTAATGTGGAGAGCTTATTCCAAGCATTGCTGTTTCTCTCAG